AAAGTTCCACAGCTCCTCAATGTCATATCAGAAATTTATATATAAAAAAAAAACTAAAGGGTGGTAATTTAAATAGATGTAAACCAGAAGCACTTTTGAGTTATTGTCCTAAAACTGGAAAATCCCCCTTCTTTTATTAATAAAATCCCATAACTCGCAAACATAAAATCTAAAATTTATAAAAATCAAAAGGGAGCTTACGTCAATAAAAAAAACAATTCACCAATGTTTCATGAAAACTGCTCAACGCATTTTTGAGTTATTGTCCGAAAACGGGAAAATCCCCCTTGTTTGATGAATAAAACCCCATAACTCGGAAACGTAATATCTAAAATTTATAAAAATCAAAAGGGAGCTCACGTAAATAGATATCAACAAATCACCAAAGTTTCATGCAAATTGGTTAAAGCGTTTTTGAGTAATTGTCAAGACATGTTGACGACGGACGGACAACGGTATACCATAATATGTCCCGTAAACGGGCGTATAACTAGAGGCTCTCAAGAGCCTGTGTCGCTCACCTGGATTTACTGATGCTTTGGAAATCATGTAAAATAAGGTTAAAATCATGATTAATAGTATTAGATATTAGAATGATATCTAAGATAATAACAAAAAACTGCTAGATTTCTGTAAAATTACTAACTCAGGGGCAGCAACCCAACAACGGGTTGTCGGATTCGTCTGAAAATTTCAGGGCAGATAAATCTAAATCTGAAGAACATTTTTGCCACCGGTCAGATTTGCTCTAAATGCTTTAGTTTCAGAGATATAAACCAAAAACTGCATTTTACCCCTATGTTCTATTTTTAACCAAGTCGGCCATGATGGTTGGAAGGCGGGGTCATCGGACAAATTTTTTAAACTAGATACCCTAATAATGATTATGGCCAAGTATGGTCAAATTTGTCTCAGTAGTTTAGGAGAAGAAGATTTTTGTAAAAGATTACAAAAATTAACGAAAAATTGTTTAAAATTGACTATAAAAGGCAGATAGATCTTGACCAGATAATCAGTTTTATCCTGTCAGATTTACTCTAAATGCTTTGGTTTCAGAGATATAAGCCAAAATCTACATTTTACCCCTATGTTCTATTTTTAGCCATGATGGCCATCTTGGTTGGTTGGCGGGGTCATCGGACACATTTTTTAAACTAGATACCCCAATGATGATTGTGGTCAAGTTTGGTTAAAGGAGTAGGCCCAGTAAGACCCCTTTTTGGCCCCAAAATATAGCAGTTTTACAAAATTGTCAAAATGTAAATTTTTAGCTATTTATTGGAAAGAAGAATACTTCTGTTACTTAAATATGGGCTGTTTTTAACAATACAATGCACATGTATCGGGTACTAGCATCATTAAGTCATGCTAAATTACTGAAATCTTTGAAATTTTAGCATTTTGGTTAATTTTTAGACGGTTTCCGTCTAAAATGGAAGTGGCCGCATTTGTGTTCATTCTTAATATTTAAATGCAAGTTGTATTTGGTGATAATACATAACATATATAAAGGTTGAGAATGAACACGGATGCGGCCACTTTCATTTTTGACAAAAACCATCTGAAAAGTGACATATTATGGCATACTTGTTAGATTTTTCATATTTAAGCTTGAATTTGAGCGTCGTTAATGATTAAATCAGTTCAAATCTTTCACATAAACTAATCGAATCGACTGAAGTAGACACTTAAGTGTTTAAAAAATGTCCAAAATCTTTCATCAGATGAATCTGAATTTTGAGGCCAAAAACGGCCCTTACCGGACCTACTCCTTTGGCCCAGTAGTTTCAGAGGAGAAGATTTTTGTAAAAGTTAACGGACGACGGACGACGGACGCCAAGTGATGAGAAAAGCTCACTTGGCCCTTTGGGCCAGGTGAGCTAATAAAAAGGAACTAAGAAAAAACAACAGAAAATTTCAATATCGCCACCCGAGGTCCTATATATGTTATAGAACTACTACCCACCGGACACCAACTGACGTCTGTGCAATTGTAATACCGGGGTATACAATATGGCAAATTATAAAACAATTCAATTTCAAACAACGAAAAATAAACGGCCTGCCTTATGGTAAAACAATAAACCAACATTATGGTAAAAACGATAATCGAAAAACAAATATTTATGAGACTACTTATTTGTCACTCATGCACGAAGACAATTCTTAATAATTCTTATATGATTTGCATATAAGAGAATACATTGATATGATTGGTTGAGAGGACTTCCGGTAGTTGTTCTTGACGTTGTTTATTTTTCGATAGACGACGTTGACCGAACTTCTTTTCGTAACCAATGTAAACAAGATGGCGGCGATAATGACACAATCCGGATCGACGTTAACAAAATTTCTTTTCAATTTGCGTTAATAGGTTTTAATAGTTAAATTAAATAATAAACACAAAACATTCGTTTGAATGATAATAAGAGTTTTTGTAGTTTATTTTTTTATCAGATTGCAAATTTCATGGAGTACATATTTTTGCGTTAACCAACAAATATATTCATGCGCCAGGCCTATTCAATGACAATTTACGTGTGATAGAGGTTACGATTGTGGAAAAATAAATTCCTTATCTCCAATTTTAAAGAATTATAAGGATAAAACGCCTTTTTAAAGGAATTTATTGGTGTATAAACTGTACCAAGTCACTCACAAACATATCATAAAAGTCCTTCGGACTTTTATTTCTTTGTGAGTGAATTGGTCGAGTTTATACACCAATAAATTCCTTTAAAAAGGCGTTTAATCCTATAATCATCTCTCCATAGAATGGCTGATTTATTGAAAAGTGTCCAACACAGAGAACTAACACTAGTCTGTGTTTGCATTGATATTTTAGTGGTCTGAAGAAGATGGCTGGACCGTCATGATGAAACGGAATGACAAACTTTTTCACTGTAAGTAAAAGGATAATTGTGCATTGTCTAAAGAAGAATTGCAAAGATTACATGTCTTTCTGATAGGTTTAATATGGCCTGGGCATAATTTCTAAGATTCATTATTATAATCACTTTCAAGTTTTTGTTATGTATAGATACACAATATCAGATTATCATATGATTTCCTTGATAGAGAGATGTCCATGGATATGTTCCACTTGTTTAACAATCTGATTCTCTTTTCCATGATGTGATATCATATAATGACACATATCACCACATTGTTACCTGCCATAAGCAACATATGGGTGCTACTAATGGATCAGGAACTGCTTACAATTTAAGATCACCTGATTTTTTTCAGTTTTTCTTTTTCTTTTTTTATTACCCCTTGGTATATCCAACCCCTTTTAAAAAAAGAAATCATAGCAAGATCACATTACAAAGGTCAAAGTGACCTGAAGGCTTTCTGAAAATATTCTTGTTTGCCTCTTTCATCTAACATCAATCAAACTTGGTTCAATGGTATCCATATGAGACAATGATCCTATCAAATATCAAGGTTAGATGTCCAAAGTCTCTGAGGCAGCATAATGCCAGTATGTTAATATGCCTACAAGTTAAACAGTTCTGCTTAGTGATAAACCTTACATAGTATCAAGGATGTCTGACAGCATGACATATGTGGAGCAGGAAATACTTAACCTTCACCCTCTGTTTTTGGTTGGGTTCTTTGTTGGTCAATCTATAGATTTCTATGTAGTATTTTAATGTGGACTTGTTTGTTGTTTTTTGTTTTTTACCGTGGTGTTGTCAGTTTTTCTTCTGCTTATGAGTTTTGAATATATATCCACATGGTATCTTCAACCTCTTTTTTTTCAAAGTGCTTTACTGTGTATTTTTCACCTGAGGCAGTTCACTCTTTGTAGTTCGTGACCAATTCGTGGGAGAAGACATTTTAGCGCATTGATAGGACATTTTAGCACCAAAGTACATGTATTACCCATTTTCGCTTTTTAGATTTTTAAACCATTTTAGCCAAAAGTGAAATTATCAATGCCCATTTTATCAAAAAATGAAATTATTAATGTCCATTTTAGCGATGAAATTATTTCGTACTAGAATGACAAATTTTAATATAATCAAGACAGCTCAATATAAAAAATATCTTGTTCTTTAAAATTCATCACTTATTAAAGTCTAAATGGTCAACTCAAATGCTAGTAGTTCTTTCTAGACTGGAATTTATATCCTAGAGAAAGTACGAAATGGACTCTTGATAAACCCCCTGACCTGTACAATAATGTTCATTACATTGCAATAGGAACTGTTTCTTCTCTTTATTTTGTCTATATTGAGGTCACATTCAACTATACTTCTTGATTTTACATCATGTAGTTGTTTGCAATTTGATGATAGTATCCAGAAAAATGTAAATGACTGAGTGACGTAAGAGATCACATATACCACTTTTATATCCTCTGTTTGTTTCAACTTAACCAAAGTGTAAATGCTAACAACTTGAAAAATAAGCCAGCATAAATTACTGTTCCTTGCTTTTAGTATGGTGAGTACTATTAAACCAGGGAAGTTTTCGCTAAAATGGGCTATCAAAAATACAGGTGAACAGATTAATCCTGCTCTAAAATGGGCTATAATGTCTGCGCTGAAATGTTCCCTAGTAGTTCAAAATTTTTTGGTAAAAAGTCCTGCACCGGACCAATTATTGTCATCATTATTAACTACTGTTTTGATAGCAGATTATACATTTTATTAATATACATGTTCAATGATGTTGGTATTATGGATAAAACAGTGCAATGCTAAAGTTGTGGAAAATGCATATCTTTAGTTTATACTTGCTTCATTATTTTCATTTTTGATAATAAACAACTTTTTTAAAAGCCTTTTATAATTCCAAACTTTTAAATTACAATACAACTCAAAAGTTGTTAAAAGCCTTTTATAATTCTTAACTGTTTTAAATTACAATACAACTCAAGTCAAAAATCATTTCAAATGTTTGTTTATATCAATGTAAACTTTTTTCTTTTGTATAATTTCAGGCTAAATCTTTTAACACCACTTTTTTACAGTCTCCCTTGAAGAGCCACAGACAGTTTATTTTACATTTTAATTTCAAATGGAAATTACATAACATTTTGTAAAGAAATATTTCAAAGTTACAAAAAAATATAACATTAGTCTGAGATCATTTACATTCCAGGCAAGATAACTCTACACATGGTCTACAACCATCTTCTTGTGAAACTCGATGCTCTCTGCAACCTGTAAAATGTAATATATTTTGTGTATTGTGCTTAACATTTTTAAACTGAAACTTACACAACTTAGCTTCACAATTTGCATAAGCTAATGAAAGTAAAATGCGTTGAAATAGAATATGTACAAATGCGCTGACAAATATAGTATGCCACTGCATCTGAAATATTAAAGCATTGTGTCAGAGTATTTTAAAAGAATATTTAGTACAGATAGCTAGTGTGAAATTGTGAATTTATAAATTTTGTTTTGAAAAAGTTCCCAATGCATCCATTACCTACTTCACATTTTTCACCCAAGAAGGTGCATGAAATTTTTGTGAAAAACACTGAACTTCAGGTATTATAATTTCCAACTAACTAATGGTTTGTAGAAATGCTCTCTGTCTATGTAGTACAGTATGAATTATATTTGATACATGTGTTTTAATTATACAGTATTGATATGTAACTAATGAATTTATTTTAACTTACAGTGCAGAATTCTTGAAATGACAGTTTGCCATCCATATCTTGGTCAGCCATAACAACAGTTTTATCAACAATCTGTTGTAGCTGGGTATCTTTCAGATGATCACCTACCATCAACTTTAACACCTGGTATAATTCTCCATTAGATATGTATCCATCTTTGTCCATATCATATATAGCAAAAGCAACTGTAAAAACAGATAAAATTAATAATATAGTTATTATATGTCCATGTTTTTGATGAATTTTGCTCTTTATCTGATCATCAGGTTTTAATGTCAAATTTCAAAGCAGTTTTATTGAAATTACAAAGAATAAATAAATGACCTTTAGTTAGACCTAGATCTCTATCCTCAGTTCTCCATATGTTCTTTAATGTCAGATAAGAGAGACAGGTTATGATTAAAATAATAAAACCTGTACAAATTAAACACCACCTGAAAGATTTCTTTAACAATAGCTATAGATCTTAAGTTGACATTTTCTCTAAAGTTTGAATAATCGATTTATTATACCACCGCCATAAGCGACAGGGGCATTAAGTCTTACACTTGACCGTCCATCTTTCTGTCTTTCTGTCTGTCCATCTGTCCCCTTTTTGTTTGTTTGTAGCTTGAGGGGGCATATGTGTTTTGAGACACATTCTTCTTTTATTTCTAAATATAATAGTAACCAAAGAACTTTATTTGTTTGAATTGACTCATACTAAATCTAACATTAAGCATGTTTAGAGTGAAAGTTGTCTTTTTTCTTTCATGGTTTATATAATTATATAATTTAATTTCATTCCAAAATTCATGACATAGTTACTTTTCCTTTATTGTCACTGACTGAAGTACACAGTGAGTGATAGATCGAGGTACTGTCAGTTCTGTTGGCTCCAGTCCTACTTATGATTGGGTTGATATGAATGTGTTTGCAGTATTGTCTAAGATTTCAAAAATTTTCAAAACTAAAATAACCTTTGAAACAGGGCTGCTGATATCAAAATTGGTCAAAATGTCAATTCATGCAATCTTATGAAACAGAAAATTTGTTTAGAATGTCGACGAATTCGAATCACAAAGTAGTTTTCAGAAATAATAAAAAAAATTATTCTTCACACTAATAGTTTCTTAACTGGCAATATGGAGACAAATATTCAGCATGTTCAGAACAAGAATTGTCCGTAAAAACTTTTTTTTCGCTTAACAGGTTTATTGATAAAGATATTTATTATATTGTTGCACACTGGAATCACTGTCTTATATTTTAGGGATTAAAGTTAATTGGTTTATTTGTACAAGACTATATTGTTTAATTTCTTTAGTTTTTTGTATTGAAATTCTTCACACAAATTTACTTTGGGCATTGCAAATGATGATGTTTTTCTGAAGGTCTGTTCTGTAAGAAATGTTCTCTGAACTACAGTCACTGTGGTCAATATTAGAGTGTAAGGAGGCATGATGTCTATATTATCAGATTAAATACAATGAGCTTGCTTTCCCTTCCAATGAGCATTATTCTATGCTATCATTTGGCATTGATTTACTTGTAACTGTATGTCTGTAAAAGGTAAAACATATATTATAGACCAAATTAATTTACTTTATATGAACCCAAGTGATATTTATTGTATGTACCTTTTGTTACTCTGACAATGGCTGGATATAAAAAGAAGGAGAGTTGAGCACTCAAAAAACTATAATTTTAACCATGCCTGTACGAAATGTGATGCCAGTAAATATATATTATGACACGGAAACCAGGCCTAGAAATCATACTTTATCCGGGCGTCATTGCAGTGTTTAAGGAATGCATGTCCAGGCGTCAACCAGGCAGAACACCAAGCGTAACTGAGGTGGAAACCAGGCGTAAAATTTGGGGTAATATTTAAATGAGTACGCCTGGTCCACAGAAAACCAGGCGTAATATGCAAATGAGTATGCCTGTTCAATAAATAAACCAGGCGTAATATCCTTACATAATACTACACTTAATATACTACACTTAATTTAAATCAGTGTATTACCCTAGCTGTGTACTTTTGTGTATTTGATACAAACTTCTGTACTGTTGCTTAAATTTCTCTTTGTTTGACATAAAACTTGAAATATTAACCATTGAAGAAGCTATATAAATAAATACATATTCGACAGACACTGGCTCAAATAAGTTTAAATTTAAATAAGTATTATGACAATTAATTATTCTTGAAATAAAACTAGCATTTTAACTAAGTTTTTTGAAAATTAATGTCATATTGAACTAAAATATCAATGATTATACTGCAATTTAACTTTATATGAAAGATTTTAATGTTATTATCCAAGGATGAAGGTAAGTTTCAGAATTCAAAGTTACTATTAAAAAATAATAAAATGCTCCAGCTGGGGCGCAGCTTGATACGACCGCAGAGGTCGAACCCTGAACAGTTGGGGCAAGTATGGACACAACATTCAAGCTTGATACAGCACTGAATTTGGATTGTAATTAAATATTTGACACAGCATAGGTTTCTGACACAGAATGAAAGTGGTCTAAGAACTTAAAAATTTTTTAATTTACCTATTTTATATATAAATCAGAAATAACCAATTTAAAATGGAAAATTTTAAAGAAAAAAAAAGGAAACCCCCCCCCCCCCCAAATTTTTTGAATCCCCTTATGATTCATCACCCCCAAACTCAATCCCAGCCTTCCCTTTGTGGTATGGTACCTTGCAGTACAATTTCAGAGAGATCCATACACTTGAACACAAGTTATTGTCTGGAAACTACAAAAATGCTTGTTTTTTGGCCCCTTTTTGGCCCCAAATTCCTAAACGTTTAGGGCAATTACCCCCAAACTCAAACCCAGCTTTCCCTTTGTGATATGGAACCTTGCAGTACAATTTCATAAAGATCCATACACTTACACACAAGTTATTGTCCTGAAACTAGAAAAATGTTTGTTTTTTTGCCTTTTATGGCCCCTAATTCCTAAAATTTTGAGGGAATTACCCCCAAAATCAATCCCAGCCTCCCCTTTGTGGTATGGTACCTTGCAGTACAATTCAGAGAGATCCATACACTTATTGTCTGGAAACTAGAAAAATGCTCATTTTTTGCCCCTTTTTTGCCCTTTATTCCTAAACTTTTTGGGCAATTACCCCCAAACTCAAACCCAGCTTTCCCTTTGTGATATGGAACCTTGTAGTACAATTTCATAAAGATCCATACACTTACACACAAGTTATTGTCATGAAACTAGAAAAATACTTGTTTTTGCCCCTTTTTGGCCCCTAATTCCTAAAATTTGGAGGCAATTACCCCCAAAATCAATCCCAGCATTCCCTTTGTGATATGGAACCTTGTGATACAATGTCAGAGAGATCCATACACTTAAACACAAGTTATTGTCATGAAACTAGAAAAATGCTTGTTTTTTGCCCCTTTTTGGCCCCTAATTCCTAAAAATTGGAGGCAATTACCCCCAAAATCAATCCCAATTTTACGCCTTGCTTATTTCAATTTACGCCAGGTTTACCCCTTTTTACTACGCCTGTTATGACTACAAATTTACGTTTCCTGCTCCCTTACGCCTGGATCTGGACACGTAACTACCACTTCTGCCTGGTTTACGCCAGATTTCCAGGCGTAATACGCCTTACAATTTAGTACGGGAGCCACATAAGTTCAAATATATCTTATTAATTTTTCTTTTTTTAAAACAATTTGGTGAGGATAACAGATCTGTGGTTGTAGTTAATTATGTTCCAATGTGACATCATCAGACAACTTTTTTTTTAAATGTTTTATGCTGGCATAATGTCCATACCTAAGAAAACTGCAACAAAATTTGATGTCATTTCATTGTCCTCAATTTTAACAATTGAAGAGCTGAGAAAAATCAAACCGCTACTGATTATAAAAAATATCAAGTAGTAGACAGGATAGTATCAATCATCTGAGAACTACTGAATGAGTATCAAAACAAAAAGATTTGAAATTTTGTAATGCTGCTTTCATAAACATGTCATGCAATTTTTGGTTGTCAGACAAGTATTACCAAATTTAACTGTCTAACCATAATATAATGTCAGTCATTTTTTTTTTTCTATTTTCTACATCATTTGTACATGATCTTCATATCTGCCTTGCAAATTTTAATTTGGTATGGTAAAATTTTTCAATTGCATGACCAGATGTCAGGCACAAATTTCAAACTTTTGAGAAGACTGGATCTACAATTCTAGTTTCTACAATGATTTATAAATACATATATATATACATATAATTTTTGTTTTATCAATTAAGCTAATCTAAATAATATCAAACATACATCTCAGTTTATCTTTCGGGTCACCTTTCACACTGAACTGGGACAATCCATTTAAAAATTCTGAAATTAGAAAAGAAGTTAGTGTAAAAATTTCCTTGAGAAATCTTATTATTTTTCAATATAAAATGTAACATACTACTACCATGACTACATACATGACATAGATGAGTGGTCTTTCAACTGACACGAAAAACAGTGCACTTCTCAAAGCTTCATTAGTGATATATGCAAGCAATTCATCTTTTTGACTGAAATAGTGGTGAATTGCCAAAACTAATGACATGCATGCTTCATCATGTTCATATACTGAGTAAACTTACAAATCTAATGATATAATTGAAAATTTCATATTGACAGCTGCATTGGAAGTATTGGGAACTATAGTTCAGCATATGCAGATGTAGTGGCTTAATTACAGGGTTACATCCTTGGTTATGAAGTGATGACATGGGAAAAAGTAAAATAACAAAATTACCGAACTCCAAGGAAAATTCAAGACGGAAAGTCCTTTATCAAATGGCAAAATCAAAAACCCAAACACATCAAACGAATGGAAAACAACTGTCATTTTCCTGACTTGCTACAGGCATTTCCTTATATAGAAAATTGTGGTTTAAACATACCTAGTTTTATAGCTAGCTAAACCTCACTTGTATGACAGTCGCATAGAATTCCTGAAAGGATATATGCTACATTCTTTCAAAAAATAAGTTTAGCCCAGACAAGGTTGTTTGAGAAAAAGAATCACAAGACATGGAGGAGAAATAATAAATACTACTTAAACATTTTGTCTTCTTTTGCTGAATGTGAGGCTATTATTACAGTGGTAATGCTCAGCCACAGGTCCACCAGCCAATGCTTGAAAAAAACTAGAGGCTCTAAAGAGCCTGTGTCGCTCACCTGCGTCTTGAACAATTGCCACATTTTAGTAACAACAGTACGATGAAATGTCTCGCCTGCTTTACTGACCATTAATTTAATGTTGATAGTCCTAAATATAAAGTTTTACTTCAAGTATCACATAAACTTAACATGATCCAAGAAAATGAGGTCAAGGTCAGATGAACCCTGCCAGACAGACATGTACACCTTACAATCATTCCATGTATCAAATATAGTTGACCTATTGCATATAGTATCTAAGCAACAAACTTAACCAGGAAAACATTGACCAATGAATCATAAAAATAAGGTCAAGGTCAGATGATACCTGTCAGACAGACATATACACATTACAATCATTCCATACACCAAATATAGTTAACTTATTGCTTATAGTTTAAGAAATACAGACCAAAACACAAAAATCTTAACATTGAGCAATGAACCATGAAAATGAGGTCACAGTCAAATAAAACCTGCCAGACTGACATGTACATCGTAAAATATTTCTATACACCAAATATAGTTGACCTAGCTATTGCATACAGTATCAGAAAATCTGACCAAAACACATAAACTTTACTTTAACCACTGAACCATGAAAATGAGGTCAAGGTCAGATGACACCTGCCAGTTGGACATGTACATCTTACAATCATTCCATACACCAAATATAGAAGACCTATTGCTTATAGAATCTGAGATATGGTCTTGACCACGTAAAACTTACTCTTGTTCACGAAAACTTAAGTCTTCTTCACTGAACCATGAAATGAGGTCGAGGTAAAGTGGAAACTGTCTGACAGTCATGAGGACCTTGCAAGTTATGCACATATTAAATATAGTTATCCAACTACTCATTATACGAGAGAACTTAACATTACAAAAATTCTTAACTTTTTTTTAAAGTAGTCACTGAACCATGCAAATGTGGTCACGGACAATGGACATATAACAGACGTAAACTTCATAACATGAGGCATCTATACAAAGTATGAAGTATCCAGGTCTTCTACCGTCTGAAATATTAAGTGGTTAGTTAACACTGCAGCCGCCAGATCACTATCCCTATGTCTCCCTTTCTGCGACAGAAGTCGCAGGCTCAACAAATTATCATTAAAGGGATTAACTCTATTGAGAGTTATTACTGCCAATTCTAGTCATATTTGTAGATCTTATCCTGCTGATAATTATTCCTTTCTAATGTTTCTATATTATAGTTTTCAAGTTAATAGGCAAAAGAAAACCAAAATGGTAAAAAAATATAGATAAAGCCATTAAAGGGCAATAACTCCAATAACAAGTCGACTGAAGATTTCGGTCATTATAGCTTATTTGTAGATCTTGTCGTCTGATCTTTTTTGCTATAATAGCAATTAAATGATCAGAAGACAAGATAATTTAAAGTTTCCATCTATCTATTATAGATTTCAACAGAATAGGCAAAAATGCAAAAAATTGGGAAAAATCGTCATAAAAGACCTTAAGGGCAACAACTTGAATAAGCAGTAGACAAACAATTTCAGTCATGTAATCTTACTTGTAGATCTTGTCTTGCTGGTCATTTTTGTTTTAGAAGTTTCTGTCTATCTATTATAGTTTTCAAGATAATAGGCAAAAATGCATAAAAAAATGGGGAAAATCGTCATTATGGGGTTATAACTTCAATTGGGTGTTGACTGAAGATTTTGGTCATATTGAATTATTTGTAGATCTTGTCTAGCTGATATTTTTGCTGTTTAAAGTTTTTGTCTATCTATCATAATTGTCAAAATTATAGGCAAAATGAAAATAATTGGTAAAATGTGTTGTTTAAAGGGCAATAACTCCTATAAAAATTTGTCTTACAGTATAAAAAATGTAGGTAGATCTCATCATTCTTATCAATTTTGCCCCCATCAAATTTTCTGTATCTTTATATAGTGGTTTTGAGGATAATAGACAAAATTTGCATTTTATCCCTATGTTCTACTTTTAGCCATGTCCACATGTTTGTCAGCAGACAAGATCATCTGACTCATTTTTTAAACTACTGGTACATGTAGATACCCCATTGATGATTGTGGCAAAGTTTGGTTAAATTTGTCCTTGTAGTTTCAGAGGAGATGATCTTTGTAAAAGTTAACGGACAACGATGGCAATTACAGATGATGGACATCAAGTGATGGCAAATTAGCTCACACTGGCACTTTGGGTCAGGTGACCTAATAAGTATCATGCCTGTAAATTTGAGTTGTAATTTAGTCAAATTAATCTTGTAACAGCAATAACTCCTATAAGGGGTCATCAAATATTTGTCCATGTTGACTCATTTGTAGATCTTATTGTTTTGGTCATTTTTACTGTTTAAAATTTTTCTCTATCTGTTATCATTTTCAAGATAATAACCAACTTGAGGTTCTAAAGAGCCTGTGTCGCTCACCTTGGTCTATGTGCATATTCAACAAAGGACACTACCAACATTTTAGATGAGAATAGAATTCATGACAAAAATCTCTGTTTTGTTGATCTTGTAATGCTGATCATTCTGTCCGTTTAGTTTCTCTCTATCTTCTTTAGTTTTTGCTCAAAACACAAAAGAGGGTTAAAAAATCCTCATTTAAGGGCAATCACTCCTATAAAGAGTGACAATCTACTACCTATATCCTCAAAATTTGACATGTTAGTAGATCTTGCCTTGCTGAACATTTTTATGATTTAAAGTGTCTTTTTATCTATTACAATTTTTATCATGTAAGGCAAAACCCATAACAAACAGTTAAAATTGTAATTAAAGGGCAATAATTCCAATAAGGAGTCTTCTGACGATTTCCTCTTTATTAGTCTTAATTGCAGATCTTGTCTTGCTGATCATTTTTGCGTATTTAAGTTTCTATCATTCTATTATAATTTTAAAATATAAGGCAAAAATGCAAAAAAATGGTAAAAACCATCATCAAAGGGCAATAACTCTAATAAGGAGTCGGCTGAGGATTTCAACCATTTGACTTATTTGTAGAACTTGTCTTGCTGATATCTTTTTGCAATTTGAAGTTTCTCTCAATCTATTATAGTTTTTAGATAATAGACAAAAATGAAAAAAAATGGTAAAATTTGTCTTTTAAAGGCAGTAACTCCTGTAAGAAGTCGTCTGACAGTTTTGACGTTTATGGACAATTGGTAGAGCTCAACATTCTGAACATTTCTGCTCAGGTCAGATTTTCTCTATTTATAATGGTTTTCAAAATAATAGAAAAAACTTGCGTTTTACCCCTATGTTCTATTTTCAGCGATGTTGGCCATCTTGGTTGGTAGGCTGGCCATCGGAAACATTTTTTAAACTAGATACCCCAATGATGATTGTTTAAATTTGGTTAAATTTGGCCCAGTAGTTTCAGAGGAGAAGATTTTTGTAAAAGTAAACAGACGGTGACGATGATGATGGAGGACTAAGGACACCAAGTGATGAGAAAAGCTCACTTTGGACTTTGGGCCAGGTGAGCTAAAAACTAAAATTTGAAAAAAAATGTATTTCAAGGGTTACGATTATGAGTGAATCACTCCAAAATATATCGTTATTTTCTAAAAATTTCCCAGGAGGTAGACCTTGCCCTGCTGATCATTTTTATCCCCACCCCCTGCTCAGAATTTCTCTAACTGCTTTCGTTTTTGAGATACAAGCCTAAAACTTTAAAATTTACAAAGAAATTATGTTTTTAGGGGGAAAAACTTCAAATCTGTTGACTGATTTTTCCAAAATTTACAAGATAGACCTTGACCTGCTCATCATGTTGATCTCCCCCCTCAGATTTGCTTTAACTGCTTTAGTATTTGATATATAAGCCAGAAACTGCATTTTTATCCCTATGTCCTATTTTTAGCAACAGTGGCCATGTTTGTTGATTGATCCAATTCCTGGATACCAGTCTTTTAAAATGAGATACTCTAAGGAACATTAATGTAAAATTTGGAAAAAAAATGGCACTGTGGTTTTAGAGAAGAACAGACTGATGAAAAGTGTGATGGCTCAAGGTCACATAGCCTTTTCCTTTAGGCCAGGTGAACTAAAAATGGGATAAAAATGCTGGTTAAAATTGCTTTTGGAAACCCTGTCATAACATCCAAGGGATGATTCAGCCCAATATTGATTCCAGTGGTTTTAAAAAGCTTTAAAAGGTTTAACTACAAATGAATTCTGTTGATGTTATATCTAATTTTGGACAAACACATTTTTTGTGGGTGTAAAATTCAAACTTTCCAAACTGTGTAAACTCAAACATGTCAAAAGTGCAAAAAATAAACTGTTGCATACTATAATATAGTAAAAGTACCTGTAAAATCCACTTCACCATCGCCATCTGTATCAATGATAGCAACAACTCTCTGGACTAATGGATTATCCTTCAACTCTGGAATGGACATAAACTCCTCAACACTTAAAGAACCAGAATGATCTTTGTCTAGTTTGCAAAACCTTTTCCCAAGACGTCTTATTTCATCTGAATCAACTAAAAATATAACATACATGTACTTCATGTCTTTTTAAATCAGTTATCTCCTTGTTTAGTACATAAAGAACTACATAGAACTAATTTCATTTCTAGGTGCTTTGAAAGTTATAATCAAAAAAGCTTGTTTAGTTATTATTTGCACTAGATAATACCATCCATAGATATAAATTGGTCAAGTCTTTTTTAGGATTTGTCGACGAACAAACAGATACAAGCTGAAATGGCTAAGAACAACATGTTTGGGTATGAGAAACCCAGAAAAAATCACTCAGACCAAAAATATAAATAACAGGCGCGCAACTCTATAACATGTATAAGAAACTGCAAGTTTTGTTGACATCTGTCAAGTTGTTTCAAACTTGAGTTGAAGATACAGTGTAAAGCTGAAGACTGATGTGGACAGCAAGATGACAGTAGTGATCCCTATGATAATATTTTTTTTATTCTTTTAAAATTTTTCATAAACATTCTTCAAGAACTGTAGGCAAGAGATTGCTTTCAATGCAATTTTCCATAGAATTTCTATTAATGAGGGGCATAACTATTGTAAAAAAGTTTATCAGCACTGATTATTGAAATAGTCCAAGGCTTTGCTGATAGTCACCTGTACGAAATGGGACGCCCGTAAATGACACGGAAACCAGACGTAGAAATCATACTTTATCAGGGCGTCATTGTAGTGTTTAAGGAATGCATGTCCAGGCGTCAACCAGGCGTAAACCAGGCGTAAACCAAGCGTAACTGAGGCGGAAACCAGGCGTAATATTTAAATGAGTACGTCTGGTCCACAGAAAACCAGGCGTTATATGCAAATGAGTACGCCTGGGCAATAAAAATAAAATGCTTCGCTGGGGCGCAGCTTGATACGACCGCAGAGGTCGAACCCTGAACAGGTATGGACACAACATTCAAGCTTGATACAGCTCTGAATTTGGATTGTTATTAAATATTTGACACAGCATAGGTTTCTGACACAGAAAGAATGTGGTCTAAGAACTTGAATTTTTTTAATTTACCTATTATGGTCCAATGTCCAAAATCAAAATACATGGTTGATTCAGCATATCAAAGAACCCCATATATTCAATTTTTGTTAAATCAAACAAAGTTTAGTTTTGGACCCCAACTTGGACAAACTTGAAAACTGGGCCCATAATCAAAAATCTAAACACATGTTTAGATTCAGTATATCAAAGAACCCCAAGAATTCAGTTTTTGCTAAAATCAAACTAAGTTTAATTTTGGACCCTTTGGACCTTAATGTAGACCAATTTAAAAAATGGGACTTGAAATTAAAAATCTAAATACACGGTTAGATTTGGAATATCAAAGAACCCCAATAATTCAATTTTTGATGAAATCAAACAAAGTTTAATTTTGGACCCTTTTGACCTCAATATGAACCAATTTGATAGCGGGGCCTTCAAATAAAAAATCTAAATTCATGGTTAGATTCAGCATATCAAAGAACCCCATATATTCAATTTTTGTTGAAATCAAACAAAGTTTAATTTTGGACCCCAATTTAGACCAACTTGAAAACTGGGCCAAAAATCAAAAATCTAAATACATGTTTAGATTCAGCATATCAAAGAACCTCATATATTCATTTTTTGCTAAAATCAAACAAAGTTTAATTTTGGACCCTTTGGACCTTAATGTAGACCAATTTGAAAACTGGACCCAAAATTAAAAATCTAAATACACTGTTAGATTCGGCATAACAAATAAATAAATGTGATCAAAGATTTTACAAATCTAATGCGCCATACTGTGCAATTAAAGATTACTTCTTGAAATTTTTCAATATTTGAAATTTGAAAAAAAAATAATATTTGAAGAATAATTCTTTTTAATTTCTGAAATCTGAAATGAGAAAAAATTGACCCCCCACAATTTCTTTTTACCCCCCCCCCTTTTTTTTTCCCCCAAAAATTCTTTCCCTCAAGATATGGTCATAATCTCAATTCAAATTTCCAATGGAGTTGGCAACCATAATTACCCATTTAAATTTACCATAGTGCTAACTTACGGCCTAGCCACAAACAGATGTGCATTTCATATTAGGTCTATGTTATAGGCTTCTATAGACAAGAAGGTGAACTTAATTTAAGTATTACATCTTTGAACTGAAGGAAAGAATATAGGGCTTCACAATGCATATCAAATATAATGTATACGTGTGACTATTTTGAAACAAACCCACTAAAATACATGCTAAAATGGGCAAAATTTCACGTTATGTTGTTTCATTTAAAAATACACTGTTTTTATCAATTGATAGTTAATAAGTGAACCTAATTTGAACTACATTTTTGGTTCACTGTTATAGACAATTTATTCATCTTTCTTTTGCTGGTTGTTGCAACGAAAAATCTTCAGTGGTTACAAAGTTATGATAAAAAGTGGAATACTATGCATTCGTTATGCAATTTTGTATTTTTGCTTTTACCTTTTATAGTGTAGTAATAAAAGAGAAAAATAAATGATATTTATGCTATTATGTGTTTTGTTTTCTCTTCTTGTATATGAATTATCAACAACTACCTCATATATCTATATTGCAGTACCCTAGCTGGAGATATATGCCATCTAAAATGGATATCCAAATAAAGTGAAAAAATGTCTTGTCCGTAGACATGCATTTCCTAGTAAACTGGAAGTGTAATAACATAAATGTTGCATTGCTAAGTTCCTACTCTTTTGTAGATATGAAAACACTACAAACATTAATTTCTACCATCTTTCAATAGAGGAAGAATTTGAAAAAAATGTCAGAATGTCTTGTTCGTAGACACATGTCTTGTCCGTAGACATGACTTTATATCAATATTGCTTGGCTTTATGGATCTAAATTGTTCCTATATGTTGTTTAAACTTAGAAATATATTATTTTTGATTAATTAATAGTTATTTAACTGTTCTCATTTTTTGTAAAATTACTTTACAGGAGTGGATTTTAAAAAGTGGCAAATTGTCAGTCATTAAAAGCATACCTTATTTTACTTCAATATTTTTATTCCAGTTGCTTCATAACTTAAAAGATAAACTTAATCAAATGAAGAAATAGTATTTCTCTCTCTCTGACTTTATCTTTTGCATTTTAGGACTATCAGCAGATGAGGAAGTGTCTACGGACAAGACACTTGTACATAACAAGTATTAAATTCAATTATCTGTCTACTTTGGAACTTAAATCTAATTTATAGGTGATGAAAGTTCTTTGAACACATTAAAACTCAGTATTTTCAACATAAATATAATCACAGTTATTTCTAACAGATTGTTTGTTCAACTGAAATTGTCTTGTCCGTAGACATTACCACAATCTATTTGTTTCCAATTTCCTTGAGTTCAGCCTCATTTGATAGATAAAATGTATGTTATTTTTTTCAAGAGAACACATTCAACTTTGTCAAAATTGAGTTTTAATAAAAGTTTAATTGTTAAACATTCAGACTTATGGATTTCAGTTGAAAGAATGTGTCTTCATTTTTGCTTAATCAATTAAATTTTGAGATATGTAAAGAATCATGGGTACATTTTTATATTTTCCAAAAATTAAAAAACACAGCTTAAAATTAAATGGGTAACTTAATCTTAATTTTAACAATTATCTTTTTAATGCATTTAATTAAATATCAATAAAATGTCTTGTCCGTAGACATTATCACAATGTATTTGTTTCCAATTTCCTCGAGGTTCAGCATCATTTGATAGATAACATGGATAAACATAATAAAATGTATGTTATTTTGTCAAGAGAACATATTCAACTATGTCAAAATTAAGTTTTAATGATGCATTTAATTGAATATCAATAAAATGTCTTGTCCGTAGACAAAACATATAAATTGTGTTGCTAACTTTGATTGTTTATTGTAAGAATATGCATCAAGTTATTTTAATGTTCTATACACCAAAAGAAAGGTTTTTTTTTTAAGTTTTGTTATTAATAGATTATTTTAGAAATAGTTTGATCAGATCAGAGTAATGATCAAAGAAAGCTACTGTTGTTTGAAATAATTGTGAGTTAAACATGTTCTTGTCATTTTTTTTTTCGATTAAAATGTTTGATATTCAATAATTCTAAACATATTTTGTTGTCTTTGTCATTGGCCAAAAATTTGAAACTGGTGACCATGTCTTGAAGGCAACCATTAAAGAAAATTAGACAGTTTTAAAACACCATTTATTAAATAAAAATATTATATATTTCTTCCCAAAACTGCATGTAATTATATAAATGCTTCAAGTGTTAGCCTTATGACTGCCATTTTTCATAATTTAAACCATTTCTGTACCAAAATATCAAAAGGGTTTTTGCCTGATGTGATCTTCATTTTTGACTTCATGTGAAACACAAAATGTACATCTGATTGTGGCTAGGCCGTCTATTTTATAATAGAATTAAAAATATAGTGTCAAATCTTTCATATGGATTTTTTTGTAGATATTTTTACTGGTCTTCCTTTATAAAATATATGCATTTCTTTAAACATAATTTAAAAGCAGTGTAAGGGAAGTAACCAAAACGTTGTATTTGGATTACCTCCCTTACACTTTTTAAAATTATCTTTATTGTTCATTAACCATTACTTTATACATAATTTAAAAGCAGTGTAAGGGAGATAATTTCAATGATGTATTTGATTTATCTCCCTTACACTGCTTTAAATTATGTTTTGTACTAAAGTATTTGTCCATTAACCAGGACAACCTTGTTTTTCCCCCTTTTTTGCCCCTAATTCCTAAACGGTTTGAGCCATAACCCCCAAAGCAAATCCTAACCATCCCTTTGTGGTATGGAAACTTGTAGTATAATTTCAGAGAGATCCATACACCGTTCCACAGTTATTGTCTGGAAACTAGAAAATGCTTATTTTTGGCCCCTTTTTGGCCCCTAATTCCTTACATGTTGGTACCATAACCCCCAAAATCAATCCCAACCTTCCTTTTGTGGTATTTAACCTTATGGTCAAATTTCAAAAAGATCCATTCACTTTAACTAAAGTTAGAGTGCGAAAACCAATGTGTCTTCGGACGACGACGCCGGACGACGACAACGACGACGCCAACGTCATACCAATATACGACCACAAAATTTTTTTGCGGTCGTATAAAAACAGGCGTAATGTCCTTACATAATACTACACTTATTTTAAATCAGTGTATTACCCTAGCTGTGTACTTTTGTGTATTTGATACAAACTTCTGTACTATTGCTTAAATTTCTCATTGTTTGACATGAATCTTGAAATATTAACCATTAATTGAGGAAGCTATATAAATAAATACATATTGGACAGACACTGGCTCAAATAAGTTAAAGTTTAAATTAGAATTTTGGCAATTAATTCTTCCTGAAGTCAAACAAGCATTTTAACTAAGTTTTTTTTTGAAAATAAATGTCATTTGAACCAAAATATCAATGATAATACTGCAATTTAACTTAATGTGAAAGATTTTAATGTTATCATCCATGCAAGGATGAAGGTTTTCAGAATTCAAAATTACTGTTAAAAAATAAAACTTAGTTACTCACATAATTATCTTTAACCATGTGTATTACTTTCCTTTTATTTCACAATTTTCATTAATCAATTTGATTCCATAATTCCAATTTCAAATTCTTCCAAATTATCCCTGAATATATAATTCTGCCATAAGTCCAACTCTTGCAAAATAATACCAAAGAGCCAAATTTTGAAAAAAAAATCCCATGATCCTTTATCAACAAAGCATTATGGGTATTATGATTTACGCCATACCAACAATTTTACGCCCGTAGGAAAATTTACGCCTTGCTTATTTCAATTTACGCCAGGTTTACCATATTTTCAATGCCTGTAAGGACTACAAATTTACGTTTCCTGTTCACTTACGCCTGGATCTGGACACGTAACTACCACTTACGCCTGGTTTACGCCAGATTTCCAGGCGTAATACGCCTTATAATTTCGTACGGGCGATGTATAAATTTCTTTATAGATTTCATAAAATTTGACATTAAATGTAAGCATGAGGCTCCGTGTGTTAAACTGTTAACATATTTTTCATAGAATTTACATTTCAAAGGGACATTATTAAACTCCTGTGCAAAGCAGCTGCACCAAGCACGCATGATACACCCTTATTGTGCATATTGATATTGTTGCATAAATAGAATGGGATATAGAAATTAGTTCATTCAAAGCATTTATTCAGAAGCAAATGAAATAGCTCTGTAGAAACACATGCATGAGGATACCCTTAGGCATATAAATAATGTGTCAAATATGACTGTCAAGAAGTCCCATACATTTGTAACTCTAGAATGACAAGCCAGAAATTTTCAAATAAAAAGCAAGACAAGGAATGCAGGCTTCAGAGTCCCTCCCACTACAATGCAATTTTCCGTATAATTTTTATTGCCAAGGGACGTCACTTCTTTTAAAAATAGTTGATTGGAACTGTTCCCAGAAATTGCTGATATAAACCTTCGATATAAATTTTATAAAAATCTGGCTAGAATTGTTAACCATGTTAACTGTGTAAGAGTGCTAACAAGACTGGACAGAGACAGGCACACGCTCGGCATTTCTATGTCTCCATTGCATGGGGGACAATGATTATTTGAGATCACGGAGAAAATGGTTACAATATTTTTGAAAATAAAATGAATTCATCTGTTATTTTTCTCTCTTTGAACACAGTTGTTTTTCATAATAAAAATATTCAGATTTTTGTAACTTACAATTTAAAGCTAGATGTTCATCAATGGAATTGTGATTACCCTGAAAACAAAATTCTCATCCTGTTAATTTATAAATAAATGAGGGAATTGAAATACATGTTATGTATATTAGTGAACAATCTTATAATGTTCACATTGATCATTACAATAATTACCATGATTATGTTATTACATTATCCATGTTTTTTTTATATTAGAATATCTTATTGAAAGAAGTACATCGATCATGCAATGATTTTTTCAGAGTCCTTACCTAGTGGTTCCCAACGAAAAGCTTTGAGCAATCAACTAGACATTTAGTCCAGTAAAACATTCTTCATTGGACCTGCCTCTATTTTACAGGACATTTATTATTCACACATATGATTTGGACAAAATTAAAAATTTTACTGGTCATTTGGTCCAGTTATGCATATCACTTAACTGGACCAAACCAATGTTTACTGGTCTTTGCCCAATGGTGACCTTGGGAATAACTGCTTACCTGAACAATAAAAACTATTCTTACTTCTAAAACATGTACAAGTGAATTTTTAAGTGCAAGAAATTATCTCCCATTTTTTCTCTTCTGCAAGAAATATACTTTACATTCTGAAGTATTTTTTTTAAAGAATTAAAATTCATAATCTTTGCAATAGAATTACATTCTTTAGGAAGTTTCCCTTGACATATGATATTTTCCCAGAAGTTCAACCTATTTTAGTATTTAATCTTTACATAGTAACAAATAATGGCAATACCCACCATGCCCACAGCTCGGTTTAGTTGTACATGTCATTTTAATATTTAAATAGTCCCTTGAGAAATGTCATATCAGTTTATTAGCAAATTACAAAAAAAAAAGGTTTTCATTTTAAATTAATTTTTAATTCAATGATGCTTATTCATGTTCTTGCTATAAAGATACTTGTAAATGTAAGGACTGGTGATAGGATATTAAACTCTCCTTATTTTGACAAATAAATATATTCAACAGAAATTACCGACTGCCTGAAATATTTATTTTTAATTTCTGCACATGAGCCAGTGTTGTTTTTTAACAGGTTCAAATGGTAGTAAATTTATCTATTTTTAAAATTTTGTGGTTGCTGTTTGTTGCTGGAAATCATATTTTATTTTGTTTATTGTTTTGTACATAAATCAAACTTAGTTTTCTCCTTTGAATTGTTTTACATTTGTCATTTTGGTACCTTTTACAGCTTGTCATGAAGTATCATACTGGGTATGGGTTTTTCTCATTGTTGAAGTTGGTATGGTGACTAATAGTTGCTTACTTCTATCATGTCTATGACAGTTGGTCTCTGGTGGAGAGTTGTCTCATTGGCAATCATACCATATTTTCTATTTTGTATATACTATTTAAGTTTAAACTATATACAGACTGTCATTCATTTCTTTCTGAACGCACAATCCTCTATCTTCAAATACATTTCATTAGTTTTCTTCCTTATTCAAACAAAATTGTTTTTTCAATTTATTATTCCTTACAAAATCTGACAATTCATAATTTACATACATGTACCCTGTAGCTAAAAAAAACAAACTCTGTGATCCATACCCTTTATTATGTTTATAATTTTCTTAAAAAACAAGATATAAATTAAACTTTGACAGAGTATGAACAATTTAAGTTCTAAAATTCTTAATGTTGACCTTAAAAGTTTTCAATAATTTTGGATTAAACATGTACATGTTGAACAGTTAAAATAACCCAAAAGAAATGTTGATTTCAGAGCAAAATTAAGTCCAAGAAATCAGCATAGCATTACCCTTGTGTAAAATTAGAAATTGCAATAGACTAATTAAATGTAAACTTGTGCCAACAGGCCTTAAGACTGAGGATTGAGGGTTGTGGCTATTCAAGGATTTCAATTTAATAGTACAAAACCTTGGTTTACTGTGTAGATCAGACTTACATTAGGTACATCAAATCAATAAATTTCTTTAAACTTTAAGGATAATGTACCCTTAAAGGCCTTTTGTTGTTTCAATGCTAAATATATGGAAATTTTATAAAAAAAATCTACAGCCTTTCCCCTTGTACTCATATATTTGACAATTCGGTGCCTATTAGTTAGAGGATCATTGCATGCAGTGCTATCAATGATTTCCCTTAAACAAGTATTTAAATAAAGATATTGGTTGAAACAAGTACTACATTGGACCTATCAAAGTACCCCTTCTAGGGTGCGCTCGACTTTAGTGACTTTAATTAGCACCAAGTTCTTTGAATTGTAAAGGTTGTTTAGGACTTCTTGTAAACAATAAACACTAGCACATCATGGACATACAAGTGAGCAAACTATATTAACAATTTTTTAACGAAAATCTCTGTAATAAAGTCTGTAATTGGTTTATTTGCCACCAAATCCCTGTTTTCTAGTAGATGAAATGGGGAAATATTTAACAGTAACACTTGGAACAACGTTTCCCTCTGCAGTGGCAGATCCAGGGGAAAAGGGGGGGGTTTACGATTAATGCCTTTGAATGGGGACATATGGTTGGAACTCGACCCCCCCTTTTTTTAATGGCTAGATCCGCCCCTGTTCTGGTATAAGTACAAAATGACACGTCACTTTTATTCTGTAATTTTACTGTTTTGATATTGTTGCACTTTGAAAAATTCGTAATACACAGGCCTACAAAAGGGGTCATCCTAAAAAGACATACTAAACTTTTTTGTTTGGCTATATGTCTAACCACAAAACCAACTTGTTTAAATAACCTGTCTGTCAAAATCAAGATCTTCCTTTATTTCTGGTATTTTCAATTTATCCATTTATTCTTTATCATATTTCTTTTGTGGCGATAGGTCTGTGTAAGCGAACTTCCGGTTGGAAAGAATGTTCCCGTGCCCGGTTCGAGTGAAGCTATGAGGGGCCTGATGGGGGGGGGTCTCATCACGATTCACGAGTTGATTTTTTTGTCAATCACGATTCACAGAAAATAAATTTCCATGATCACGGATCACGAAAATATAAAAAAAAAAAATAAATCTGTAGAAAAACGGATCACGATAGCGAAAATGCGCCGGACTAGAAGAACGAAAATAACCCATCAGGCCCCTCAGCTATATGCAGGGGCGGATCCAGCCATTTTTAAAAGGGGGAATTCCAACCCAGGATAAATGGGGGGTTCCAACCATGTTGTCATTTAAAAGCATTGATCGTCAAAAAAAGGGGAGCTCCAACCCCCGGACCCTCTACTTTAGACTTTTTATACAGACGAGTGCCTACAGGTGACTTTCGGGATATGACTGTGTGCATGTGTCTTTCTGAATAAAGTTCTACATGCAACAATTAATAGTCATAACGAAAGCACGGTTTTGTTAAATTCACATACATGCAAAAGAAACTAGGAATATATAATCATGACATTTCTAGACAATAGACAATGAATCTTAACGACGAACCATAGCAGACGATTCCAATCCCAGGGTGCATTGCACTGTGTTGGGAACATGCTAAAAGTGTGATTTCGACCTCTCATTCAATTTATTTAAAAATTTTCATGAGGAAAGCTATCCGAGAGATTGTGTTTTTCATGTTTGAAAAAAGACCGATTTCAATAAAAATCTTATTTATATATAAGATTTATCTTATCTCAGATGTCATCAATACAATACAAATACAAATAATTTATTAACTAGTCACAGCCTGCCCGTTATTAGGGCAGAATAATTACTCTAGACACAGTTAAATTATTACTACAAGACAAAACATACAATACTATTAAAACCATGATTTTAATGATTAAGTTGATTTTTAACATTCAACATATATGCCTTTATCAAAGAAGAAAAAACTGCATAAAATATATATACCAATGAATAAAAACATAAAATCCAGCTATAATGATTCCCCTTGAAACACACAATTTAAAAAATTAATAAAAAAAAATAATAAAGGACAGATCTTAAGTCAATTATTTATTAGTGCTTCTCTTTCTTGGGACAGTTGTTTTAAAACTTTATGATTTTTTTCAATATTGTCTATGTCTTCATTGCTTCTAGCTTCTTCTTCCAGGAAAGGAACCGGATTCAAAACTGAATGTGATTGGCTCCGCACGAAAACATTAAGATCCAAATTAATTTGTTTTCATCAGAAAGTTTACTAAAATAATTATTATTATTATTTAATTGATCAAAGAATGGTTTTCGGGTAACAAAAAACAGTGACGATCACTATAACAGCATGGCAATATCATTGATCATTCATGATCCCTATAATGCATTGCATGTCTATAATGTCAATTAATCTATTATACACGTAGTCCAAATTTTCTGTCGTAGGAAGGCGTCACAGAAAAACAAATTAAAATGGCTTTTCAAGACGTCATTATCATTTGGTGTTATCAATCTAATGAGTGCTGTCATAGTAGTTTTTTACGTTACCATAAAAAATATGTACCAAAATTAAGAATAATAATATACTATAGAAGGTTTTATTCAAAGTCAAATAGATAAGCTACAAATATTACCAAATTGTCCATTAGATGTTTTTAAAAATAGTACTAAGGACAAATTTAGCACTTTGTATTTAAAAGATGAAAATTATGCATTTCAACTTCGGAGAATTTTTTCAAAGTAAGGATCCGAAATTACCAGCATAGCCTACACGAAAATATCTTACGTAATATTGGATGTTTTTTTTTGTTGTTAAAGTTATAAAACGTCACTGCAATGCAGTTGTTTTCAGTTTTACCTTTTAACAATTACTTAGTCAAAGGTTTTGATGATTCGCAATATTGCATTCAGTGTAATGACATATACCCACTGCGTTGTAGTAGCAGATATGTCAAATTCACCTATGTGGCTGTCTATTTGCAAATAAATTTAATGATAGATTTACACTATATAGTGTGTGTTGTTTTTTTTTACAAACTACACATCTATTGGTGCCTGATTTATAAAATTTCAATAAGTCACTGTAATGGACCAAATCAGATAGAATTTCTGAATTGTTTCATAGGCTTTGCGAACATTTAGTTTATAACTTACTATTTCCAAAAAAAATATATGAAAAGTTTTATGACTCCTAGATCACCGAACTTGTTATGAAGCTACAGGTTGTGTAAAATTGACACATTTTTGTATGGATTATACGTGGACAAATCACTGAATAATAAAATGCTTCGCTGGGGCGCAGCTTGATACGACCGCAGAGGTCGAACCCTGAACAGTTGGGGCAAGTATGGACACAACATTCAAGCTTGATACAGCTCTGAATTTGGATTGTGATTAAATATTTGACACAGCATAGGTTTCTGACACAGAAAGAATGTGGTCTAAGAACTTCAATTTTTTTAATTTACCTATTATGGTCCAATGTCCAAAATCAAAATACATGGTTAGATTCAGCATATCAAAGAACCCCATATATTCAATTTTTGTTGAAATCAAACAAAGTTTAATTTTGGACCCCAATTTGGACCAACTTGAAAACTGGGCCAAAAATCTAAAATCTAAATACATGTTTAGATTCAGCATATCAAAGAACCCCATATATTCAATTTTTGTTGAAATCAAACAAAGTTTAATTTTGGACCCCAACTTGGACCAACTTGAAAACTGGGCCCATAATCAAAAATCTAAACACATGTTTAGATTCAGCATATCAAAGAACCCCAAAAATTCAATTTTTGTTAAAATCAAACTAAGTTTAATTTTGGACCCTTTGGACCTTAATGTAGACCAATTTAAAAAACGGGACCAAAATTAAAAATCTAAATACACGGTTAGATTTGGCATATCAAAGAACCCCAATAATTCAATTTTTGATGAAATCAAACAAAGTTTAATTTTGGACCCTTTTGACCTCAATATGAACCAATTTGATAGCGGGCCCACAAATAAAAAATCTAAATACATGGTAAGATTCAGCATATCAAAGAACCCCATATATTCAATTTTTGTTGAAATCAAACAAATTTTAATTTTGGACCCCAGTTTGGACCAACTTGAAAACTGGGCCAAAAATCTAAAATCTATATACATGTCTAGATTCAGCATATCAAAGAACCCCATATATTCAATTTTTGTTGAAATCAAACAAAGTTTAATTTTGGACCCCAACTTGGACCAACTTGAAAACTGGGCCCATAATCAATAATCTAAACACATGTTTAGATTCAGCATATCAAAGATCCCCAAGAATTCAATTTTTGTTAAAATCAAACTAAGTTTAATTTTGGACCCTTTGGACCTTAATGTAGACAAATTTAAAAAAACGGGATCCAAAATTAAAAATCTAAATACACCGTTAGATTTGGAATATCAAAGAACCCCAATAATTCAATTTTTGATGAAATCAAACAAAGTTTAATTTTGGACCCTTTTGACCTCAATATGAACCAATTTGATAGCGGGGTCCACAAATAAAAAATCTAAATACATGGTTAGATTCAGCATATCAAAGAACCCCATATATTCAATTTTTGTTGAAATCAAACAATTTTTTTTGAAAGTTTAATTTTGGACCCCAATTTGGACCAACTTGAAAACTGGGCCAAAAATCAAAAATCTAAATACATGTTTAGATTCAGCATATCAAAGAACCCCATATATTCAATTTTTGTTAAAATCAAACAAAGTTTAATTTTGGACCCTTTGGACCTTAATGTAGACCAATTTGAAAACTGGACCCAAAATTACAAATCTAAATACACGGTTAGATTCGGCATAACAAATAAATAAATGTGGTCAAAGATTTTACAAATCTAATGCGCCATGCTGTGCAATTAAAGATTACTTCTTGAAATTTTTCAATATTTGAAATTTGAAAAAAAAATAATATTTGAAGAATAATTCTTTTTAATTTCTGAAATCTGAAATGAGAAAAAATTGACCCCCCACAATTTCTTTTTACCCCCCCCCCCTTTTTCCCCCAAAAAATTCTTTCCCTCAAGATATGGTCATAATCTCAATTCAAATTTCCAATGGAGTTTGCAACCATAATTACCCATTTAAATTTACCATAGTGCTAACTTAATCTATTTTATAATAGAATTTAAAATATAGTGTCAAATCTTTCATATGGATTTTTTTGTAAAAGAAAAAGATGCAACATTTGCAGATATTTTTACTGGTCTTCCTTTATAAATATGCATTTCTTTAAACATACTTTAAAAGCAGTGTAAGGGAAGTAACCAAAACGTTGTATTTGGATTACCTCCCTTACACTGTTTTAAATTATCTTAATTGTTCATTAACCATTACTTTATACATAATTTAAAAACAGTGTAAGGGAGATAATTTCAATGATGTATTTGATTTATCTCCCTTACATTGCTTTAAATTATGTTTTGTACTAAAGTATTTGTCCATTAACCAGGACAACCTTGTTTTTCCCCCTTTTTGCCCCTAATTCTTAAACGGTTTGAGCCATAACCCCCCAAAGCAAATCCTAACCATCCCTTTGTGGTATGGAAACTTGTAGTATAATTTCAGAGAGATCCATACACCGTTGCACAGTTATTGTCTGGAAACTAGAAAATGCTTATTTTTGGCCCCTTTTTGGCCCCTAATTCCTTAACTGTTGGTACCATAACCCCCAAAATCAATCCCCACCTTCCTTTTGTGGTATTGAACCTTATGTAAAATTTCATAGAGATCCATTCACTTAAACTAAACTAAATTAGAGTGCGAAAACTAATGCGTCTTCGGACGACGACGCCGGACGACGACGACGACGACGACGAGGACGACGAGGACGACGACGACGCCAACGTCATATCAATATACGACCACAAAAAAATTTTTGCGGTCGTATAAAAATTACTTAAGTCTACCTGAATAGAAAAATAAACCTAAAGGATAGAGACCAGGTTTAATTTGAAATAGGAT